AAAAAAAACTTTTCTGTCTTTTTTTTTATTTATATGTATCCAAACATAGTCTTCATCAAAACCAAAATTACAGTAAAATATTATTAAATTAATCATTTTAAAAATTAGATTAATAAAACTAACACAACAAAAAGCAAACAAAGTCGTAATCAACAAAAAAAAAAAAAGAAAAAAAAAAGACTGTGATTCAAGTATCATTTCTTACATTTCAAAATAAATATATCATTTCTTACGTCCTCTTCTTCATTTATTAATAATGAAATCCCATAATTAAAAACTCGTAATAGTTTGAAGTTAATATTAAATGTGAAATTTAATTATTAATATTATTTTAATTCAAATTCGAATAAAAAATAATTAAAATATGAAGTGATATGAATTCGAAATAATTTGTATATGGGCTTACAATAATTAAACCCAATGTAAAAACAACATCCGAAACAACTCCAACTCAAATCTGTTTTGCCAACTCTAAATTTTAAAAAATTAGTTTATAGAATTTAGAAGCAAAGTTCCCAACGGCTAATGAGAAATAACAAATCTTTCCCAATCCAATGGGCCCGAACCAATGTGTAAAAATATGGGCTGGTTCGTCATGTATGTAGCCCAGCGCTCCTCAAACATGCCCTAGATGTTTTCCTTCGCTTCTCGCCGGCTGTATATAAGGAATCCACTTAAACCCTAAAATCCCCAAAGCCATTCTCTACAAAACAAACCCTAAATCCTGTTCTTGCCTGCACCACCATCTTGTTCCTTCTACAAATCTTATAAAACCGTTTGATTTTCCTTCATGATTTAATTCTTTTTTGTTTCTGATATAAAGCTCTAATTTTTTCTGATCCTTTACCAAAATTTTAACAAATATGTTGGTTCATATTTTTTACCCTTCTTTTGGATCTTGTTTATGCCTTTTTGTTTTGCCTATGATGGTATTAAATATACTTTGAGAGATGTTTCTCTTTGAAATAAATAAAATCTGAGGCATAAAAGGCTACTTCTTTTATTTCCTTGATACTACATTGAGATTGGTTTTTCAATCAGCTTATTTCTTTGAATGTTTCGTGTGTAATTATTCGCATAAATTAGAGTTTTTGATGCTTTTTCAAGCTATTAAAAGAATGGGTTTTCCTTGAATATTAGGAATATTGTTTATTTCATACGCAAGTGATGATAAAAATAGACAGGGACATCTGCACTCCCTTCTTTGGGTGATTGATGACTTAGTCTTAAATGGGAATCTCTCTGATGCAATGCTATGATTTTTTTCCCTTATTGATTAGTCTTTTTTATGTGAATTTTGCCCATTAAAGCTCGCAACTTACGTTGATTGATGATTAAGAGAATGGGACTCTTTTTTTGTTGCTATAAATATTTACTTTTCTGGGTGCTACTGATGGCTTTAGACTATAGAATTGCAATGATTTTTCAGTGATTAAAGCAGACTTCCTGTAATCTTTGTATCACTTAGGTGCCTAAATTTTATGTTCTATTTGTTCTAGTTTTCTTGATTGTCCATTAAAATCTGGTTTATTCTCTTAGAATTTTGTGCAAGTGAAGATAAAACAGACAGGGACATCAGTACTCATTGGAGGATGATGAGTTGTCTATGCATGGGAATCTCTCTGATGCACAAAAAATAAATTGGTTTTATTACCTCTTTACAATTGTTGATAAATTTTTTAGTACTAAATTATAGATGAAGGGTTTCTAAGGATCATTGATTTGATATGCCAATGATCCTTGTTGTTTTTAACTAGAAAGATTTTGGTTTGTCTATGATGCACATCTTAATTCACGTATTATCAGATCAAATAATGATGATATCTGATAATTGTCACTACCTCTGAGACGGACCATAGAAAATCTCTTGAATTTGCTTTAATTGTTCATTGTGAGTCTTACATGTACAAATTTAATACCTACTTATTGTCATTTTCTGTTGCTGATGATGGTGTTAAATATACTTTGAGTAAACGCAATGAAAAGACTTCAATCTGAGGCATATTTTTCTGTTTTCTTTCATGTGTTCCAAATTTCCGACTTTGCAGTTTAAATTCTGAGTTTGTTTTTTTTCACTAACACCAGTGTGACGAGGGGGTTCTATCCCTGTCTTTATTGGGGCAAAAATGGTATGTTTGTATATTCCAAGTTAATCGTCACATTAACAAATTTTCATCGATGTTGAAGGTCCTCCCACTGTGGAGTTCCTCCATCAATGTATGGTTGCATATACCATTGGCATTGTGGAGCAGTGTTACTGTCATTACATCTTGGGCCAGGCAATAGACATACGTTTTTTCTAAAGTTCATCTTAGATCTTTTAGAATCAGTGGCCTATGAGGATATCCATAAGAAATACCATCTTTCCGGACTGAATGGCTTTCTAAGCTTTGATGTTCGTCTGCAAATCTGAGGCTTTGCTGTGCTTGCTTGTTCATTGTATCTATAGTTTATCTGAATAACTTGGATGTTATTCAGATCTTGTGATGCATTTGTGCTATGCATAATATTTATATCTATAGTGATAGAAAGCCATAAACTGTTCAGCTTTTCAGAAAGGTTTTGATATTTGGTGTTTCTTGGAGGCTTTGGATCTACTCCAATGCCTCATTTATCAGAAATTGACATGATAATGTTCCTCGACCCTGGATGGTCATGCTACTAATTAGCTTTGATTTCTCTATCCTTGATTCCTCTATCCTGGATGACCCGTTCATTTTATCAATGTTGCAATCCTTAATTTTAGGCCTCGGGATTGTTGTTTTGCTTTTGTTTCGAAGGCTTTTTTGGGTTGAAAATTGCCTAATGATTGTTATAAAGAACGGAGATTTGAATGGTGCTTTTTGTTGAAGCCTAATAACATGTTGGGCTCCAAGAGCATCTCATGTGATACACTTCTTTATGGAATATGAAGGCTTGAAAATTTTTCCGGAGTCTTTTTCTATTCTCCATATGTGATAAGTCACCTCTGGACTGCAGCAACCAAACAGATCGTAAGATTTGCAAGTTCTAGTAAGTTTAGAGTACGTATAGAATTTTAGAAATTGGTTTTTCAAGCAATTTGCATTCAAGGTTTTTTTAATTTAAATATGGATGTTTTTCTAATAAAAAATAAATTAAAAAATTAAAAAAAATTCATATTGACTTTAGATAATATTTTTAAAATGTTAACTTAATAAGGTAAAAATTAATTTTTAATATAATATATATACATAAAAAATTAAATAAATTTTAATATATTTCGAAAGAGGTTAAAATAGTATTCTAAATATGCTTCGGAATCAAGTTGACTTCTTTTTAAAACATTCAATTTGTCTCCTGATATTTTATTCAAAAGCAAAATTATCAAATATTTACTAGAGTCAAGGCAGAAAATATGTAAATATTTAAAAAGAAAAAAAAAAGGTAAATAAAAAAAGATAGAAAAGATTAAAAGAAAAGAATTTTATTTAACACAATGTATTTTTTGTATTGGTGACGTACTTTTTGTATTGGGATGATAAAAAAGAACTTAAAATCTAATTAATATTTATTAAATATAAAAAATAAAAAAAAGCAAATGCATGGTATACTTTGAATATTAAATGGATTTTATAAAATAGAAATTTAAAATTTTGAAAAAAAAAAGAAAATTTTTTTGATGTAAAGTGAATCTTAGTTTAAAAATAAAGTTTATAAAAAATATTTATTAATATTAAAATACTTGAAAAATAAAAATGCAAAAACAAAATTTGTTGATTTAAATTTTAGTTTTGTACTTGTTCATGTTCTGTTCATTCCTACAATGACCAAAATTTAAGTAATGGATGTCAATTTAACCTGAATTTGGTCTGATCTCTACTCATTTTCTGATGATGACTTTTAATAAGGTTTCTTCTTTCCTTTTAATCAGAAAAAAAAAAAAAAGTAAAGAAAAGAAAACCAGAGCTCACTTTAACAGTTAAATCTCAGAAGTAAATTCAAGAAACTTAAAAAATAAAAACTTCATCCACAAATTTCTTTCCCGAGGGAGAAGAGATAAGTGGTTACCACATTATATCCAAGTGGGGTCGACTCTGATTTGGGGTCTGATTTATCCTCGTATTGCCGCCCTTATCTGCCTAAACTCAACTTTGTTTAATGGGGCATCCGGGACCCTCATCTTTTTCCACAAAAATATAACTTCTTAACTGCCTGGTTGTCGCTATTCCCTTTCGATGGTCTATCATGATTCATGCCATGCCCAACCATTTATCCAGTTGGCTACATGAGTTTTTATCATTTGCATGATCTATCATAATAGATAGACATTTTTAATCTTCAGATTTCATTTTGTTTATTTTTCACTGGAACTTGTTTATTTTTTTTTGGGTTGCGTGATTGCTGCATGTCATGAAAAAGGAAATTTCCAACTTTTAGTAGTCTACTACGTATTTAGGCTTTGTTGAATCCGCCGACCAAATAAATCTAATACATTTGGATACACCGACCAAATAATTCAACTTTGGATAGTCTGCCATGTAATTTTTTTCTTTCTTTGTTAAAAAAAAAAAAATTCTAATTGCCAACACTGTTAAGGCCTTCCGAATCATTGAATGAATTTAATTGGACCTAGTGTTAGATTTGGTTTGTTTTGTTGCTATATGTAGAAGAAATGACAAGAACACTAGAAAGTTGTGTTTTTCTTCGTTTTTTGAAAAAGAAGAGCACACTAATGCTTGAGGTTGGCCCCGACAATTTACAATGATCCTCTCAACTCATTGACAATTTTGGATTCCAGTGGGATCCCATGTGATCTTACATCCAAAACCATCATTCATAGTCATCTGATAAGTCCAAAAATGAAACTCCTAGCAGTTCCAAAGCTTATTCTTTAGGTGTCACAGACAGATAAAACTATGCAAAAGTACTTTGGGTATTGAATGCAACTTCAACTTTATAGTAAGTTAGGTCATATACAGCTGTAAATGGCCAAAAAATATTTGCAATGATCAATGTCATGCATATGAAATCCATGAGAATTGCATTAATATTTAATATTGCATACCAATTCGGCAGTGGATTTGCAGGAAAAGTAAGAAATAATGTAGATCAAATGTGGAACTTGAACAGTTTCAAAATGGTACCAAACTCTTGTTTATGACAACATTATAGATTCATACTACTATCATATAACAATTCCCTGATAAAAATTTGGCAGGGCTCAACTCAAAAAACCCAGGAGCCTGCTTATGAAAAACCCAGCTAATGATATATACAACTAGAAAAAGAGAAGTTCCAACATCAAAGATTGGAGGCTGGAGCCACTTTACTCCACTTCCATAACTAATCTCTGTTGAGCTTAATAATAAATCAAAACCTATAGCAGAGCAGCCTCTTTTTCAAGCTTCATCTTATTACCATCTGCTTTGTTCAAGATACCAGACAGTTCCATGCTTCTCGTCAGCAAATCCTCCATTCTTTCTTTGTTTGTGGAACGTAATTGTAAATTAGTCGATAATTCACCAGCTATTGATAATTTCATCAGCTCGGACTCATCCAAACCTTTTGCAGGGCCAGGGCTGCATCGATCAGCTCCATGCTTTGCCAATGCATCTTTGAATTTTTTGATCTGCAATACAAAAACTTTACATTTACAATCTGTAGTGAACATGGTCTATTAAGAATTACGATCAAGAAATTAAGGAATACTATCCAATCAATAAAATCCTTACAGTAGCATTGGTGCAGCTAAAGCTGCATAGACGCCCCTCAGCACCTCTATAGAACCGAAAGAATGGTAAGACATGAATATTGAGACACTGGCACATGTTATTTAGCTCTTCATAGTTAACTTCTAGGAAAATCGCATTTGGATTCTGTTCAGCAAGCTGACAGATCTGTTACAAACATAAGCCACTGTCAACAAATCAATTTTGATATTCTTCACCATTTTATTGAAGCTTAGATATTTTTTCCTAAAAGAATTAGTACTACTATCAATATTTCTTGCCATACTCAAATATATGTACCTTAAACCAATGGATAAATTCCAATTCCTTTCAGATGAAAGAAAAATAAGCTCAAATTTAGAGAATACAGAATAAACAATCCTAAAATGAAAGATGTGACCATAACTACTAAAAGTTATTCTAATGACCAAATATACCTTAGGTTGCAGAGCTTTGCAGCCCCCACAACCAGGTGAATAGAAGTCAATAATAACCAATCTATCACCAGCATTTTGCAATGAACCCACAAGTTCTTCTGCCGAGCGGATCTTCACCATGTTGGGTCTAAGATTCTTCTCCCACCATCTCACACCTTTGGCCACACAGGTTGTTTCTGCCTGGAAAACCAATTGATTTAACATCAGTTTGGAGCACAACATAGAAAACTAGAAAGAACAAAAAAAAAAAAGGCCTTTAAATCCTAAATGTAAAGCAAAATTTTGACATACTTGAACAGAGAATCTGTTTCCAGGTTTTCGCCTCCAATTTCTTGAACCTTTCTGATCTTGGACAACTAGTGGTTTGCCCAAAAAATCAATGCTCAAAACAGGAAACCTTTTTGATGTTAAATCCTTGGACTCTGAAGAACTCAATGATGTGCTAAACCCGCCAGCCTTAATGGAATTTGAACCCAACATAGTCTCATTGAACAGAGACAAATATGAACCACACTTCAATGAACAGGCCATGAAATCCTCTGATAACTTAAAAAAAAAAAAAAGACCCACTTCTAAAAATCAACCAAAATTGAAGATTTTGAACAAAAAATATGTTCTTTTTGACTGAAGAGGGTGATCAGAGAGACAAAGAAAGAAGAAAGAATGGGTTTGTTTGTTGTTTCAAAAGCTTCAAAGCTCAAAAGGAGAAGAAGAACAAGAACGATTATTGGGAATAAAAAGGGTGAGAGTTAAGTGAGGTCAGAATGATTTGGATTTAAGTTTATCCATTTTTTTGAGAAATATATAAAGAAAATATTTTGGAGAATTGACACCAAATTTCATTAGTGTCCGATATGTAAATAAACTAATTTCTGAGGATAATGAGACGGTGTCTTATCCTTTTTCTTTTTAAAGTTTAATTAGAGATGCTTTATTTGTGGGATTTGTTTTTTCTATATTTTAGGAATCATTGTTTTTGGTAAGGCCAAACCGCGTACCAAGTTTGTGTTTGCAATTCAAATTTTGGATAAGATCCGCTAAATTCAACAGAAAAACGTACAAGCTGTAAAAACTTTTCCTTTTAAAAAAATTCTTAAATAAAGAATATACAAAAATTTAAAGTAAAATTGTTTATGGATTATATTAGATTCAGTTCATCATTTAATTTTTTTTTTTTAAACTCAATGGATATAAACGGTTCAATTTTAAAAAATTAAAAAATTTAAAATTAAATAAAAATATTTTATATTTAAAATAATAATCCGAGTGGGACTAATCCAAAAGTTCAATCCTCGGCAGGTTTAATTCAAAGAATTTTTTTTTAGCCTTAATTAGAACTATTAAGAGAATTAAAATGTCTTTTATTTTTATTTATTTCTTGCCTTTTTAACATTTGATTTTCTTTTTTTATAACTTTTAGTAATTAAATATTATCATAAATTTGAATTTAAGAAAAATTATTTTTTCACAATCTTTTAATAAATTTGAATTTAAACAATAAAAAAGAGGAATAAACTTTTTTTTTGTCATCTGCATCAATCATTCATGGGTAAACTATATTATTAAAAATAATTTTTTGAAACTAATTAAAATTTTACTTTTCGGATTGATTTTTTTTTATGAATAACATAATAAAAGTTTTATTTTATTTAAATTTGTAGCATATTCAATTATTCCATGGATTCTTTCCCGTTTGGTTGAAGACAATTAGGTTTGGTTATACTCATTTGTATCCATTTATTATTAATTACTTGCAATTAATATATTTTTATGATATTATAATAAAAATGTACAAATGTCAACTAGATGGGATCTAAATAATCAAATTGCAAATGGTATTTTAAAAGAGTTTTTTTTTTTAACAAAAGAAATTGAAGATAAAAAAAGATAATAAATATTAAAATTTAAATTACAAATATGTTAAATATGACATTTTAAAAATAATTGTAAAAAATCAATTAAATTAAGTTTAAGATATTATAATAGTTCAAACTTCAAGATTGATCAACTTAAAATCCTATCCATTTTTTTGGTTTGATGCTTATAATTTTGGAAAAAAGAAAAACTCTATCGCCCTTTGTTTTCCATGTGAAAAATCACCATGTAGAAGTTCAATGCATTACACCTTAAATGGAAATTTTTGAACCTCCCATTTTCAATAAGAATTCAATTAAGATTTCCTAAATCTCAAACAAAAGGGCACCATAACTTAATTAATTACTTGAAAAAAATCTCACACAGCCAATTTAAACCGCAAGTTTATCTTTTTATCGATATTTTATCCATTTTGATTATTTTTTATATATAAAATTATTGATATAATAAAATTATAATCATTTTATATCATATTTGATTTGAATATAAAAATAAAAATAAAGATTGTCATGAGAACTAATATCATCTTAACGTAAGATTATTTAATCTTCTCCGAATTAAGAGGATATTTTTAATTTATGAGATTAAATTTATATATATAACTATACAATTAAAAAGTACATCAATAATTTAAATTATATAAATTTTAAAAAAAGATAATTTTGATAAATAAATAAATTATTTTATCATAATCATTTCGTACATCAAATACAAAATATGATAAAATTATTTAATCTAATCTTATTTATACTATCATCTTATCTTATTTTATCATAATATTATATACCAAATATAACTTTTCAATCTTTGAGTATTGAGTCTTTTTGAACAATTAATTCTGTGAAACAGTTGAGAAAATGTGTCCTAATAATACTCAATCTTGAGAGATGAAGTTTGCTATATGGTATATTTATAATTATCCACCTTTTTAAGGGTTTATTTGTTCAAATTTTAATTCCTTTTATCTCTATGTAATTTGACACTTGCTATTCGGATTGAGATTTTCACCTATATATCTTGGGTCTAAATTATAATGGTTTTTTCTCTTTGTTGAAAAGAAAAAAAAAATGAGATAAGATATTTTCAATCACCTTAATAAAATTTTTTTCTTATGTATAAAAAGATAAAAATTTATTCATTCTTTCGCAACGATAACAGACATGTAATTTGTTTGTAAACAATTATATAATCTGTTATTAGGGTGTTAATCTTTTATAATTTTAATAATAAAAATTCAATTTCTAACCATTTCAAATAAAAAATTATATTATTAAAAGGTAGGACTCACATCTTAATAAAAATAAAGTGTGAAATTTGAATCTTTAAATCCCAAATCATTAGTCACAAGGGTTGATTTAGTTGATAGAAAAACTCATCGTTTCTTATCAAATGAATTCGATCCTTATAAATAATATTTTGGATTGAAATAAAATCTTAAATGTACCATAATCATGTGGTCATGCGGAAGCACACAATCTTGTAAGATCGTTAATTTAGAACCAGAAAAAAGGGCTGATGACACTTATGACAATATTACAAAAAAAAAAAAAAAAACCCTCCCAAGATATTGAATAAAAGGCCCAATGGCTTGAAAGCTTGAAAGTGATGTTGCAATTGATGCAACATGTTGTTTGTAATAGATAGGCACTGCTATATCAAATGAAATTGAATTGATTTGCACAACTTATTTATTCAGAGAAATTTATAGAAGGATAATGCAAGACCAAAAAAAAAAAAAATCAGTGAGAGTTTCTTTCCATTCTCAACGTGAGATAAAGATATTGAGGTTGAATGTATGTATTCATCGCTAATTCTAAAGCCCATAATTTGGGTCCATGGCTTGACGGTAAAAGGAATGGCGACATTAGTGATGATGGAACGCCAAACAATTTTGCTTTTGCATATGCAAACACAGTTCTTGTTTTGAAGTTGGATGAAAAAAACAATTGGATATATATGGTCTACATATTAACTATAATAGTAATTGAAAACAATTTTGCTATTGCAAATACATCAAATATCAACATATATTAACTATAATTTGAGTGCAAATTAGAAATCATTTTAATCTAAGATTTCTTTGTTCAATAACAAAATAAATAAATCCTATATTTTGAATTTAAAGGACTTTGTTAGTTTTATAATTAACTCAATGAAGTCTTTTAATTATAGCATATATTTTGGGGAAATTAGATTTTTTTTTGTTGTGATTGGAAATAACTATAGGTATTAATTATTTCCCAAATCTTCATGATTCTTTTATTGATAGTAGAAAGAGGGTTAATCCTGATCTTTGAATAACAAGAATTATGCACCCATGATTTTGTTTTTTTTTTTTTTTTTAAATAACTTTAAAATTGAAGATTTAATAATAGAAATGGCAATGGATCTGCTATTTCTTAAATATTCATGTTTAAATTCGTTTAATATTTATAATATTCAAATATGTTTAAATTGAATATCATTATCCAAATTTGAATTTGTTTAAATAAGCACTATTCATTTAAATATCTCAATTAATTAAAAGATCCGTTTATTTAAATTTTGTTAAAATATGAAATAAATAAAATTTTAATTTAAAATTCAAATTCATTCTTAATAAATAATAAATAAAAGTTATTTTTATAAGTCTCAAATCTTTTATAAGTATAAAATTTTATATATTTTATATGTAAACAAGTAACGAATTCAAATACAAATTTGAATATTTATTATTATTTATTAAAATTTAAACGAATTCGAATATTAGATATTTAAAATATACTATTTATATTCACTCCAAATCTGTTACATATAACAAATATCTTATTTGAATTCGTTAATTATTCATTTATAACTATTTAAATTTGACATAAACGGATCGGATAATGTCAAATATTCATTTATTTATTATCTAGCCATCCCTATTTAATAAAATATATTTATTTTTAGGCAAAAAAATAAAAAAAATACATTTATCATTGAAACAAATGTTAAAAATAAAAAATAAACTTTGTTAGCTTATTATTACATTACAATTAATTATTCTTCTCTTAAATTTTTAGTAATATGATTCACCCAACTATCAAAAATATTCTTTTTTTTTGTCAAGAAAATCAAAAAGAAAAGGAAAAAAAGGAAAATACTAAATCATAGGTTAATTTTTTGTTCGTCTCGCCTCCATTATCTTTTTTGTCCTCTAGTTTTTAATAAACTTTAATCAAAATTCACAAATATGACTTTCATAATTTACAAGTGAAATCAACATGTGTAAATGATACTAATAAATATAGGCCAAAATAATGAATAGAAGCCAACTGATTTTTTCATACTTCAAATAATTTTACACTAAAATTTAGGATAGACTTTACTGTTATTTGGAGCATGCAATGGTAGGCTAAAGATAAGAAGTTGGGCAATGATAACGCCATAGTTATGAGAGTCATAGATTCTAGACCTGTCCAAGTCGCATTGGATAAAGAATTTAAAGTTCGGTCCAATCGATTTGAGATATTAAAATATTAATAAAATTTTTTAATTTAAGGATGGGTTTTTGAAAAATTTTCAATTGTTTTATTTAATTTAATTTTGTTTGTATTTTGAGAAAAGTAAAATAAAGTGAGAGAAATAAAATAGGAAGAAGCGACGGAAAGAGAAGAAAAAGGGTAACATCTTCCATCATCCATGGATCAGACAAGGAAAGGAGAAAGAGAGAAGCCTTAGGCAGTGAACGGCTGCAGGGAAAGAAAGTTTACTTGCTGTATATATTCTTGATTGTATATAATTTGCAAGGGAGCTGAGGCAGTGACTAGTGGAAAAGTTCATGGCCTTCAATTCTTTTATAAACTCACTACTTACAACCCTCGATAATATCTCGTACCATATAATTCTTGACGAAGAGATAAAAGAAAGAGGTTTAAATCCGATTGTATGATCTTAGTAACTAATAAATCAATCACGAAAAAAAAAAAATGATAAGTTCATGACTTATCCAAGTGGTCTTATGGTCCATTGGAGGCTGAGACCTCAAAAGTGATATGATATTCTCAATGTGGGTTTGGTCAGATTTGGAGGTTTTGCTTGGGAATTTTGGGCTGTCGATCAATGTTTGCTGCTAGATCTAGATGGGCTCACTGCGGCCTATATATAATTAGTGAAGGCAGATAGCATGCAAGAGATTGGAAATTTGAATGCTGAAGATAATCACTAGAGCTAATTAGAATACTGAGTGAAAATTATTGACATGCTCATGGCAAACTGATTGATTGAGGACTCTAGGCTCTTGATGCATTGACAGCTTCAACGGTTTAATTTCTATTATGACTTGCGAGATTATTGAGAGAGTCTCACAATTTGGATTGGTTTGGATAACCATGAAGAGAGATCTTATTGTACTTTAATTTCTTGATACTATACGATCTATTTACTCCAAGGACGTAAGCTCGAATCACGTAAATTCCTGTGTGTTTATGTTTGCTTGATTTCTCCATCTGTTTTTCACTGTTGTTTCTTAGGCAAATTTCCAGCAGCAACTTTTGTTGATCCTGGCTGCTTTCTTGTATTTTGGACATGGATTCAAGAGAATAAAACTCTCTGGAATACTGCGGAGAATTATATGTTCTAGAAATAATTTTTGAACTAAAATCAAGTCCACAATCCTTCATTTCAAGCATGTAAAATGTTTGCCATAAAATAATTTCCTGATGTTTAGCTCATTCCGTCAATGACAGAGGAAGCTTATCAAGGTTGAAAAAAATATACAAAGTGATGTTTCACATGGTTCTTTTTTATCATGGAGAAAAGTAAAAATGCATAAACATGAAAAATCAACTCAATATATAAGCTTCTACTTGCGGCCAGCTTCTTCCAATTCTCGCAGCCCTCCAACCTTCTGTTCAATCTCCTCAATCAGCTCCTCACGCCACAACTCTGCCCTTGCAGATTCTTCAATGTCCTCTTGCTGCATGCATTTCCATAACCTCAGTCAACAACATATAAATCTATGGACTTCAACAACTGAATTGAAAGTGAAGTAACAATGGTACTATAGTCGGTTCCAGAGTTGAGAGTCCTTAGTTCGAACCTCAATCAGTCAAGTAACAGTACTTTAAAAGCTAAAGAGTCAATTACATGTTTGATACTTTGGCAAAATGTACAAATTGGTGTCTCAATATCGATTTGAAAAGAGTAATTAAGGACCATATCAGCCTCATGTTTAGGATATAAGTTAAATCATTGAATTGCTATAACGTCGAGGAAATTAAACGATGAAATTAAGTGAGAATACCTTCTCATAAACCCAATGTCCAGTACCATCTCCCCCATCTTTCCTGTATACTTCGGAATCATAGTATGGATCCTACATCATGCTCTTATAAATCAGATTTTAAGCTCAAAATACAAAAACAAGCGACGAATTATGAATTTGAACGAGTAAAATCAATAGACGTGCGTACTTTGGTGGAGCCAAAAAACAAACATCCCCAGCAAGTGAACATGATGTAGAAAGCATCTACAGAGCAGGGCCAAAAGAAATACTTCAGCTTTGTATATAAGCATTCAAATTGAGGAGAGATATATTTTGTATGGCTGCATCAATCATTAATCGATGTGAATGATGATGAAACACTTACAAACGTTTTTAATGGCTTCATCACTCAGATGCCAAATAGATTTATTGGTTATTATTTCTCTTTGGGCATCAAGTTGTTGCAGATTATGAACAAAAACTGCCATTAGAGGCCAATCTGGTAAAGCATTCACTTTAACTAAAGCTCCCCTTCTTCTACTCTTGCTTCCTTCATCAGTCTATGTTATATATCACAAAATTCAATATGGTAATGATGTAAAATCTGGACAAATTAATCACTACATAAATGGCTTCTTCCCTTTCTTTGGTTAGGAACAAGTGGAAATAAAGATAAATTTATAAATATGGGATTAATTAGAGTCTATGCAGTTAACATACTTACCTGCTGCCACCCATTATTGAAAAGCCTGCTACTGCTTGAGCATTGTCTAAGCTGCAAATGCAAAAAATAACCATATGATTATTAATACCAATGACAAAAACTTTGAAAAGCTTGCGAAAGGATGGTGAGAGGTATAGTATTACCAATCTTGAAGATGGGTAGTTGCCCAATTTGGTAGCATGAAGATAACTGTGGATGCATGGTTTTGTAATTGTGAAGCTCCTGATTGCTTGAGCCATTGCTTTGAATGTAGTACTTTTATTACTAGGATTTTGGATTATGCTACTTTTGTTAGGTGGGAGGGAAAGTGGATGAGGCACTCATTTGCATCCACTCTTTTTTACTGGCCATAAAATGAAAGAAGTAATATTAAAGTTGTTATAAAATTAACAAATGGCCTATTAGCTCAGCTGGTTAGAGCGTCGTGCTAATAACGCGAAGGTCGCAGGTTCGAAACCTGCATGGGCCAAATTTTTCAAAATTCTAAACAGTTTAGTTTATTTTGGTGCCAGGTTCTTCAATCATTCTTCCAGAACCATATCTAGGTTTTATGCCGCGCGTGATTCTTCCAGAACCATATCCAGGTTTTAGGCACGCGCCTGAAAGCTAAGATAGAAGCTGAAATCAAGGAGTGTCAGAATATTGAACAGAAGAAAGTTTCTTAGCTTCGATTGTTCATCTGCTAATGAAAGGATTTAGATTAAATTACTGTGAACGCGATGTCGGAAAGCCTTTATAGCCTTGTATTTCTCATATAAATGTATACGCTGTGATGATTTTCATAAAGCTTTCAAACCTTAGTTCATAATCTTACCAAGTTGGAATGTCAAGCAAAACCGATGGTAAAAGAAAAAAAAAATCTAAAATTGAGGTAAGAAGTTGTTCTAAATTCAAACTGTATTGGCATCCCTAACTGCTGTTGCATTACAAGATTCGGTTGACTTCATGCATGGCTGACCTTGTACCAGTGAAATTAATTATTACCAGGCTCAGGTTATTGTCAACTGGTAAAGCCTCTTCTACCACCCCTGCTCATGCCACTATATCCACTATGCTTCCCCGATGCACTGCTTTATTTTTGGTTTAATCGGTTACTTTTTGCTCCTCCCTTGATCCTTCATTTACCATCCCTCCATGCTAAGTTCATCTGGTGCCACAATCTCATGTTCTATTCTTTTTTTTAAAAAAAAAAAAAAGCCCAAAGGCCTCTTTGCAATGGCCCTGCTTTGCAAGCCCAAAACAATCAAATGTGGCCTCATCAGCCTCTTTATCTTTCCCCAACATTTTCAAGTTCAAACAGGTTAATAACTTCTGCTTTCCACTTGCCTTAAAAGGCATGATATCTAGATGGTACTTGTTTAGACGCTTGGCATGCTGTGTTCATGTACTTCAGCAGGCCAAACATGTGTTTGGAAGTGTTCCTCAAAAAAACATGTCCCACCTCTCAATAAAAACCGTGGTCTTCTATAGTGTCTGTCGATGGCATTTTCGTAGTTATTAGTACACTTGCCAAACCCGCCAATAATTCTTTCCATTAGATACCAATTTAGGTTTGAAGAAAAAAAAAAACCTAGAGGTAGCAATCGGGTGGGATTGGTTCATTTGGGTTATTTTGACTTTAGATTTTTTTTATTCAAGTCATTTTAAATTTGAATTTTTTGCGTTTGAACCAAATTTGAATTCTGATTAGTTAAGTTATTTTTTAGATTTTATGAAAAATGTAACTGTTTTAACATGCTTTTTAAATTCAGATCAATTCAAATTATTTTTTTTTTAATTTTAGATCATTCTGAAATAAATTTTTTTATTTTTTTATTAAATTGGATTCGAATGAGTTGATGCTTTTTCGAACTAGGTTTTAGTTTGGGGTTCATTTTGCCACTTATTGGCATAATCCACATTTTCATGCTTTGAGATGGCAAGAAAAGGTATATGTTGATGAATTTCTAGCCAAAGCAGAAAGTGGTTGGATCAGAACCACATTTCACATTAACATTTTCTTGAAAAAGAACATAATATTTTCTTCCTTTATGGACAGAAAGTATTGGAGTTCAGGTTTGAGCATTAATTTATTTAACTGATTATTTAAATATCATATTTGATTATGAGTATAGATGAAGGGGAAAATTTTAAGATTTTAAATTGGTTCTTTTGTCTTGAAAACAGAAACAGTAGTTTTCAGGATTTGTTTCCAGGGGGCGGAAAGGTAGTTAATGGGCATAGGAACTAAATTATGGATGGTAAATCCAAAATCGAGTTCAATTCTCATTGGTACTACAGCCATTTGACTTTAAAAATATGACATAATAATTAGTGTGGTGGGAGCAGTTTGGCCTTTAGTTTTTGTTCTGATTACATTAGACAAGAGATGATCAAATGGGGACTCTTTCAATCAGTACGAAACAAATTGTTAGTTCGTTTAGTTGTTTCAGATCATTTAACCTTGAATTTCGCCATTGCCATTGGCTTTATTTCTTGAATTTCCACTTATTTCCGTTATGTCATCATATTGTTCTCTTTTAACAGACTTGAATTTGGCATCTAGCTCGATTACCAGGAGCTACTTGGTTCTATAAATTATGACAAGTAGCTTGATTTTGAACAAGAAACCTTTGAAGACAATTAAGGTTTATACAAGTCAATTGCTCCCATCATCAACGGAATTTAACCATAAAAATTGTCTCAAATATTCTAATTCTGCCAGCTGATTGATTGCCTACCAAAAAAACCAGTGTAGTTTTGTTGAGCATTTGAAGGGATTAAGGCACCCACAAGCCAATGTCATCAAAAAATTTTAAAGGGACATCACAATTAACACACTCATTTTGGAAATTTCCCAAGTCTTGTGTGATTTTCACTGCCATCATGGTTAGGTACTGGGATTCCAAGTTCATTGGTTGTTAGGCCTATCAGGTCATTTTTATAGAACATCAGCTGCATTATTTCTTTAATCTCACTATCTCTTTCATGAGGTATTACCTTCTCCAACCCACATTTATTTTAATCCCTAATAACAATCATCAAATGGACAGCTTCAATTACTTGAAAATGTTGAGAATAATTGTGGGTATAAAATCTTGATTATTGCTGTGATTCCAGCAATTTGTCGTTGCATTTGTTGAAACTAATGGTCAAATTAATGACTTGATTAAGACACTCATTACAAGATGGATTCTTTTTATGATGCTTGTTTACAAGCAAATAGAGATAAATAACATAAGAACAAATCTAATTAGTTTAATTAAGGTAGTTTTTAACAGGACTTGATGTTCTTGTCAATTCTTAATCCATTAATTCAACATGTTTTGGTAAAAAAGTTTAATGGGGAAAGGAATCATTTTCAGAAGACTTTTTGGAAAAAATTTAAATATTAAATTAATAAATTTGGTCTTAAAAAAAGTTAAAAACAAATTACGATTAGGTTATGTAATTACATTTAAATATATCAACAAGTAAATTTCAAATATATATATATATATATTAACAAGTGGGAAGAAATTGAGAATTTTTAGGGTTTATTTTTTCTTTTATTAAAAAAAAATGTTAAGTTGGAAGCAACTTTTTTGGGAGATATATGTTTTCCCCAATTAAATTATATTTCAGCTTCACATTCTAAGGGATTTGGCTCTCTCTTGTTCATAGAAAGAACCGGAGTAACAACTATTATACCAAACCTAAAATGAGTTTTTTTTTTTTTTAATAAAGGAGATCAGGATAAAAAAAATATTACAAATTTTGTGATTTAAATTTTAAATTTGTTAGATTTTATTATTATTTTTTAAAATAATTGTATGAATTAATTAAATTAAATCTTAAATTTTAAATTTTAAAATATTATTTTATCAAAATAATCAAATAAAAAATATATATAAAAAAAAACAATTTATACATTAGCCTTTAACATTTAAGTCCCGGCCATCTATAATAAAAATTCAAGAGTATTATGCATTTTCTTTCATTTTGTCCATTTCTTTTATACCAATTTAATGGGAAAAAAATTAGAGCTGTTCACAAGCTACTATTAGATTCGCATGCCTAACGTGTCAAATATCTGTATTTAATTTTAATTATATAATATATTTAAAATATTAAGATTTTTATGTGAAAAAATTTTAATATTTTATTAATAAATATAAAATAAATGAATAAACAGGGTTAGCATTTATGCATAAATTTTTAATATGTCAAGTGACAACAAGGCTTGAAGACTTCTAATAAAAACTTTGTTCAGTTAAAATTACTATAATAGATATCAGGCTAATATCCCTTATCTAAACAAGCAGTTTGTTGTAACTTGCAATATTAATTTATATTATTTTGGTCAAAAGAACAAAATTGGACAATTAAATATATATATATAATCCTTTTAAAAATTCCTAAGTGTTTGGTAAAGAAGAAAAAGACTTGCCATTTGCTTCATTTCTTCAAGCCTTAAAGTACATTGCCTCCATAGTCCAGACACGCCTCAAGTGACTTGCTCCTTTTTTTTTTTTTTTAATTTTTTTTAACGAAGGCTAAGAATAGCTTTGATTTTACAGTAGGAAAATATTTCAAGTTCGTTTTCGATACATTGACAATAAAAATTTTTAATTTTATAAATAAAATTAAATTATTATATATCATATTTATTTTTAAAATTATTTTTTTTATTTTTTATTATACCATAATGATATATACCATCATACTAATATTATTTGTGATGTTTAAAAATTTTGTTATCAATAAATATAATTTATTTTTAAAAATTTGTATTTTTTTTTAATTACAAAAAACGAAATTAAAAGTACTTCTTTCGTTTAATTTTTTTGTTTGTTTTTTAAATATTTCAAAATTATATCTTTTTTTTATTAAACATCTAAAATTTTTATTTTATATTTTAAATTTTTTTATTTTTTAATATTAAAAAATATAAAATTTTAATTGTATAAAAAAATTTTAAATTTAAATATTAAATATATTAAAATAAATTTTTTTTAAAATTTTCATAAAATTCAATAACATCAAAATAATTTGTGACGGAAGAGTAACTGAATTAAATTTTTACTTATATTATATATGATTACCATTAGATAAGATGTGAATCTAATCTAATAGTATAATAGCGTTGCATTTTAAACTTGGTTCATATGCCACGTCAGCTTCAACAGAGGTTAATAGTCAACTCTAGGGGTTTATCAAAGTAGTACAAGTTTGGTTTAACAAAAACAATAGCAAGTTGCCAGGTGGCAGATACTATCAGTTTCCAAATTGTTATGATGCCGACGTGGCAGATATGGACGTTGACTGTATATGAGGTTACCAGGACGATTGAAATTCCTCAAAGAGGCCAAACTTGACGCGTGTCCTCTAATTATTGGGTTTCTTCTTGAAAGGGGCAATGTTGCTGGCCCTACTCCGTATAATAAATAGAATGTATATATTCTTATAATAATTACAAATAATAAAAAATCACCAGATGAGCAATGCTCTTTTGTCCCATAATTGGATAGCCTAAACGTAACACTTTCATATATTATGAGATGACATAAAAATAATTTGATTTAAAATTTTAATAAAAATTATATATATAATTAATATATTAACACGAATTATAATATAATAATTTTTATATTTTATATAAACATACATGACATGAATACATAAATTAATAGTTTTATCTAAAATTACTTATAAATAATAAAATATTAGTAATAAATAACAATTATATTTTTATTTACTTTTTAAATTGTTGGATTATTGGATTACTGGATAATTGAGTAATAACCTTTTTTTATTTATGCCACCATGTGAGGATAACAAAATAAATTGAAAATATTAGAATTTGAATTCTTACATATTTAATTTTATTTTAAAATGATTATATAAATTAATTAAATTAAAATTTTAATTTAATTATTTAATAATATTTTAACATTGTTCTTAGTCTTTTCCTATGGTCTTATTATTTAAAATTCTGAGGTTTGCTTCCTTTTTCAAACGTTTTTCTTATTTTTTACATTTTGGAAGCTGTTTTTAATTAAAACTTACCTTTTAATAAATGAAAAATAAAATATTCAATCAGCATTCATATACAATAGTTAGTAAAACCCTTAATATATTTGAGATAAGATCTATATTTACCACCAAAATTTATTATTGATCTTTTAATAGTTGTAATTTTTAATACTTTACTTTTAATTTGATTAAAAAATATTAAAATTAATAATAAACCTACAAACTCACATATAAATAAGAGATGTCAATGTATAGGATATAATATTTCATATTTATTATACTTATATTCAATGAATATTTTAAATTTATCTTTATTTTCATCTCCGTAGGTATCTAATAAATATGAATAATCTTCATATCCATAAATTTAAAAAAAAAAAAAATAAAAATTTATCTTTTAAACTTTTTTTATTTTTAATTTATTATATTGTATATTTAAGTAATTTTTTATAAATATATATTAATATATTTTTTAATAAAAATATTAATTCTAATTCATCTAAAATAATAATTTACATTATTTAATAAAAAATTTATTTACTAAATATATAAAAATATATATAAAGTACGAAACGAATATTATATTATCTGTTTTTATCTTTATATCTAATAAAAATTTAAAATTATATACATCTCTATCCTTATAATATAATATTTATCTACATTCAAATAAAAAATAAAATTTCTTATTGAATATGAATAAAACTAACATCTCTACTATTATTATTATACTTCCAAATTTTATCTCTCCTCCTTTGCCTGAAGATGAGGGCCATTGGTACTTCTTTATTGTTAAGCTTTTATCATCCATCTCTTTTCTTTTGCTTTTTCTTTTTTTAAACCGCATGGCCTTTCAGACTGTGCTGCATTAATTCTTGGAAATTGGGCTGATTCAAGTATTGGCTAATCTGTAAGTTGATTGTTTTTGGGTTAGAAATTGGAAAACATTTGTAATTTGGGTTTTTCTTGATTTCAGTCTTAAATGAATTTATAAATCACAAATCATGGGCTTATTTTTTTCTTATCTCTATTTTGTATTTTCATTTTTTAAAACAAGTACATAAAGATCTACAACTCCTAGATGTTGTTACTTCTCTCTTTTTAAAAGGAAAAGAGTGAATTCCAACTTTCCACAATTTTTCTTCATATGTACTAATCTGTTCAGCACTAAAAAGTGGGGAAAAGAAAATGCACAAGAAGAAGTTGCTTTGAGTACATGCCAGCATTTTAGGTCCCTTTCAGATGAAGTCAAATCAAGTAACATTTCTAATTTTGTTTGAATGCCTCTTGCATGTTGCAGTGGGCAAAATCCTTTGTGGGATCACATTAAAAGTTAGACTAAGTTAACATTTGGTATTTATGCACCTTCAAGTTTCTAAAGCTCAAAAAGTTCTTAAATGTGAGTGGTTGTGAACATGAAAAAAAAAAAAATTGGGAGCAATTAAAGTTGTTGGATATAGGTTTCTAAGTTAACATATATATTGACCATTCTAATCCTCACTATCTATCTAGATTAAACAGTTTAGCTTTGGAAACTCATTCCCAAAAAATTATTCAATGCTTTATCACTGTTTAGTTTTAAGTGGTAAAAAGGTATATTTTTTTTATGTCTGCATTCAAATTTATAAAAAGATTATGGGACGATGGTTTTTTAAGAATTTATTAGATATGATATAAATAAATTTATTTAAACGACATGAAAAAACAAATATATTGAATAAAACTTAAAAATTTTTTATCATTCAATAAGAAATTTTGTTCAATTCTCTGAACTCTTTCACCTAACAAAAATTAGTTCTTAATTAGAACTATATTCCCTTCACATCATACTAGCATAAAAGGCTAATTTTAAATAATGGTGAGGTCCCTAAAAAAAGATGTGCAGAGTTATGAGAAGTAATTAGAGGGAGAGATTATCTATGTGCATGGAGCTTTTGTTTTTCCTCCTGTATCTAATGAAACTTTCAAATAAATTGTTATGAAACAGTACTGCTCAAATTTTCTCACAAAAATTTTTAGAAGCTTTTGGGAGAGGAGCCAGGTGATTTTTCCATAATTTGTCTGTTCCTGGTGTTCTAATTCAACCTAAAAATAGATCATTTTCTCACCTGTTTTTGGTTACTTGTTTCCAAGTGTCAGTTTTTTATGCTAATAGGATGAAAAATCAATGCAATGTCAGTTTCAAGCCATCTTGACCTTTTTTTTTTTTTTTGCAATTTTCATTTTTTTTCCTATAAATAATATGGGGTCAAATGGGTCATTTTGAGTTGAATAAACAACTGTATCTAATTTTCGGAAGCTGGGAATTTCAGTTTCTGTAGTGTAATTCCATGGATTCAGACAGCTGTTATCAGTAATTAGAATGAAAACGATTTTTTTTCTTGGGAAAACTCCTTTTTTCACATTGAAAAATAGATTTTCTGATCACTTTTTTTTTTTTTTTTTATAATAGATTGTCTCACTGTTTGAATCTTGTTATAATAATACAGGTTGGCCATTTCTGGTGTGCAGATGAAACAACCAATAAAATCAACATTCTCACCTTATTGGACCCAAATCTTCTTGATAATTCTATAACAATTATTAAAATCAAACTAAAATAAATTAATTATAAATTATCCGCATAGGTAGAACCTGATCATAGAAGAATTGACTTGAAACATTTTCTATGCCTTTATTTAGATTCTCCATTGAGATATGGTAAATGTAATTTACATTGTTTTAATCATCATTAAGAAAATCACAATTCCAAGGATCATATACTAAGTATTTAACAATAAAAAATTAAATTTTGGATTTAGAGTGTAATTTAATAGATTCATATAATTAACCGTAAAAAATTAACATTTAATAAATTTAGAGTTTAAATCTTAATATTTATAATTTTTATTATTTTCAAATTTTGATCAATTTTGTATAAGATATTAACCTAAAATCGAATTTAGATGCATGATCTTTGAGATTAGCTGTCTCTTGTAAAAAATTTAGGGGGATAGAATAGAAATATCATTATTATCACAAGTATTATTGCATATGTAAAAGTTCATTTGAGAGAAGGGATGGGGGAAGGTGGAGCTGGCCAAAACAACAAACCAAGTTGCCTTACATGCCACGTTTCTTTCCCTTCACACACCAGTATTTAGGGGCTTTTGTTGCTCATGCTGCTTTTTCTCTTAACACCTCCCCATCTTCAAGGTTTATTGCTTTTTAGTTCCATGGCGTTCCTCTTTTTCTCTGAATCGTTTATTTTTTTTTCCTAACTTCTCTTAACTTTATATAAGCTTTCTTCTCCTCCCTTTGCTGTATCACTTTCCATTTGAATATTTTCAGTTCTTTAGTTGCTTTTGTTTTCTCTGCCAGGTGCTTTGGACAATAAGAATTTCAGCTGTCTGGTCAGTTGATATATATATATATATATATATATATATATATAGAGAGAGAGAGAGAGAGAGAGGTTATAAGGGTGTGCTTTGTTGGGATTTTAAGCTGGATTTTGGGTGGGTTTTTGCAGCTTGTTGATTGGAATCAAACCAAGATTGTGAAACTGAAGGTTTTAGGTGAAAGGGGCAATAGGGTTTTAGCTTCTTCCAGGAATGGCAAACATTGTTGTAGTTGGTCAGGAAGATGATCAGATGAATTTGCCTCCGGGTTTCCGGTTTCATCCAACTGATGAAGAGCTTATTTCTCACTACTTGTACAAGAAGGTTCTTGACATCAACTTCAGCGCTAGAGCTATTGGAGAGGTGGATTTGAACAAGTCTGAGCCCTGGGACTTGCCATGTAAGTCTTGTTGCTATGATCTTAATTCAAAGTTTTCATGCACCTTTTCTCTTTGTTCAAAACTTTCTCATGTTTGTTTGGATATAGGGAAAGCGAAAATGGGAGAGAAAGAATGGTACTTTTTCTGTGTGAGAGACAAAAAATACCCTACTGGTCTAAGGACTAATAGGGCTACCAATTCTGGCTACTGGAAAGCCACAGGGAAAGATAAGGAGATTTACAGAGGAAAATCATTGGTTGGAATGAAGAAAACTCTTGTTTTCTACAAGGGTAGAGCTCCAAAAGGAGAGAAAACCAACTGGGTCATGCATGAATACAGAGTGGAAGGCAAATACTCTGTCCACAACCTCCCTAAAACTGCCAAGGTAACACTTTGCTCTGTTTTTCCATTCTGTCTTTTGCTCTGTTTCAATTTGTGTCATCCATGTGTTGTTAATGGATCATTTTTGTCTTTTTTATTTTGTAGAACGAGTGGGTGATTTGCAGGGTATTCCAAAAGAGTTCTGATGGGAAGAAAACCCATATTTCAGGTATGGTTAGGATGGGTTCTTTTGGTAATGAGTTGGGTCCTGCTGGTCTACCACCATTAATGGAATCTTCACCATGCAATGGCAAGAGCAAACCTGTTGCCGAATTGGCTTACGTGCCCTGCTTCTCCAATCCTATTGATGTTCAAGAAGACACAATCGGGAATTTCAATAGCCCTCTTCTTCCTGTTTCTTCAAATCCTACAGACATTTTCCCACTTTCAAACTCCTTTTACTCTGCTCAAGCAATCCCTTCCCTATCAAATTTTCAATTCCCTGGCTCTGTTTTAATGCAAGACCAATCAATCCTGAGGGCCTTAATTGAAAGCCATGGATCAAACATAAGGCAGGATTTCAAAACAGAGAGGGAGATGGTTAGTGTTTCACAAGAAACAGTTTTAACCACTGATATTAACAATGAAATCTCTTCTGTCGTATCGAATCTCGAAATGGGAAAGAGGCCATTCGACGATCAAGAAGCCCCTTCTACTTCGGCTGGACCACTGGACCTTGATTGTTTTTGGCATTACTGAAATCAGAAACAGCAGCATTTGAAGATTAATTCGACCTTCAGTTACTATTATTGTCTGGAAAAGATGGTGTCAGTCTGTGTATAGATTTTCTTTAGGTCTAAATAAAATTATGTATTATAAATTTATAATGAAATTACCATGTTAGAAAACTTGAATTGTTCCTTGTCTTGGATTATTTTTTGTTTCTCTTTCTGGGTTGCTGTTAATACTTCTATCATCACCTTTTCATCTGTCTAAGGTTCAATCATGAATTGTGAAACAATATATATGAATGCTGATTAAAATTGTTTTGATTTAATTGGTGTAATTTTATCTATATATTTTTAATTTAGTAGCAAACTTACCATTGTAATTATAATTTTCAAGCAAATTTGGTCAAGATATAACAGTTGAGAAATATTCTGTAAAATATTTCGTTGAAAATTATTTTATAATAAAAAAACTTTGAAAATAATATGACAAGGAAAAAAAATTAAGACCAACTCAAAATGTATAATGGGATATTGTTTTTAATAGAAAATGATATGATGAAAGGAAAAAAATAAAATTAAAAATTCGAATTATGAGACATTATATTTAGTAAAAGATGCAATGATAAATTGGAAAGAAAATTTTAAATTTTAGTTTTATGGTTTTTTTTTTCCATACTATTTTTAAAATAATTTTTTAATTGTAAAATAGTCGTAATAGAATTTTTAAATATTTTTTAATTACTTCAAAATTGAAATATAACAATAAATTTACTCTAAAATTATAAGTCCGATGATAACAAAACATCAGCTGAGAAATTTATGATAAATTTAAATAAGTTAACACCTTGTATTTTTAATTTTCATTTTTAATCATTCGATAAATTCATTCAAAATTCACTTTATCCAATTCATTCATTTCATGATGCATGTATTCCGTTTTGGGAGGTTAGCAATCTTTTTTAACGATGATGCAAGAATAAGCTTCTGTTATTGATTTCTTTTTTGTTTAATTAAGGAAGCATGTGAAGCTTTTAGGCACATGAGAGAATGTCCCAAACCCTTCCCATGCAATCAGAACAATTTGAGTCTTACACGACATGACCCGGTGATTTTGTCGGATACATTATCCTTTCTGTTTGACAGCAGTCTTGTTAATTTTTCTCACCGTCCTATATTGGAAAAGTGATTGATTAAGAATCTGGGTATTAACTCAATTAAATTATATAATTATTTTTAAAATTTAATATTCAATTTTTGTATTAAATTTGTATTGTTCGTATTAATTTATAATAATTCGTACTTGATAAATATAAGATTTTACGTCTTTTTATTTTTAAAATTTATTTATTTATTTTATTCTTTAAATTAATTCCTAATGCTTTATCTCTCATTATATTTTTTATTCATAATTTAATCCAAAAATGAAATATGTTTATAAATTGGACTGCTAAACCTATTTAAAATAACTTAATGTATCATAATCTTTTTTATATGTATTTCATTTATTTGATGTTTGAGACTTTTGAATATTAAATATTTATATTTATATATAAACCTATAGATGTGCACAATGGAGGTGTGTTTGTCTGTGTATATTTATTTTGCAAACAAAATAGTTAGATAATATCCAAAATGATGCATTGAAACATATTGGTACTACTACGTACCATTTTTAAAAGGAAAATACAACAAATTTTGGTACAATATGGACAACCTTTAATTGACTTCTTCTAAAATAATATGGAAATAAAAAAAAATTATAAGTCATTTTGTACAAAAGGAAAAAAAAAAAAACATGGTAGTTGTTATTTATTCAAATAAATTGGAAAATGTCATTTTCTTCAAATAAATTTGAAATTAAAGTTACTCATATAACTCAATACATATTATTATTTGGATTCAATTCAAAGAAATTATCAAATAAATTCTTGCTAGAGTTTTTTAAATTCAAAAGTAAAACTTAAAAAACAACATATGTTCTCTAAAATATATTTTAAAAATAAAAAATTAATTAAAAAAATAAGACATGTGTCACTCAATTAATAACGTTGGTGAAATTAAAAAATTCTACTAATAATCTATCATATAATTTATCGTTAATTCAAGTATTAAAAGTTTCAAATTCAAACAAAATTTTCAATATTTGAATGTTTTGTTTTGTTTTCTTTAGTGGTTAATTTCTTGGTGGGTATACTTGTCTTAAAATTTGAAATTTGAGTTTAAAATTAATTGTTGTATCATGTATAGTTGTAAAATACAAATCAAACAATTAAATTTTGTCTAGCAGTGATTATGAAAATCTATAAGTAGGGTGCTTTTCTCCCTTCCCTTTTAGAAAATGTTGAACATCAATAGTAGTATATAAATATAACGATTTATGTATTTATATTATATAAAATAGTAAATTTTATGGATTTGCATAGTATTTTAAATAAAATTATGTGTTATAATTCATGTTAATATGAAAATATAAAATATATTTTTTAATTTTATTAAATCTACATATAATTATTATAAAAATTTTAATATCGTATCATTTTTATATTTTTTTTTATCATATTCGTTTCGTGTTATCTTATCATATTTTAAATTATCAGATATCAACTTACAAAAAATTCATAATCCATTTCTAAGAAAGTCACATTATATCAAGTATGTAGAATTTACAAGCAATTACAATTTACAATTGAATTTTAATTTTTTTTAAATTAAAGTGATAAAATATTTCATTGATAACATAATTGGCTCAATTGATTAGTTTGTCCATTTCAACGCAATTGGTCATGAATTAACTTTATAAATAATTTATTTTCAAATTATAAAGTGAGAGAAATAATTTTCAATATCTATCTTAAGTTGAGGGTTTGAGTAATTTATACGTCTTGATTTTTTATTTATATCTATGTTTATATTATTTATAATATATTTAATTGAATTTGATGCTAGAACCAAGTGACACCAATTTAATTAAAAATTAATAAAAAAATAAAAAATTTGTACTAAAATAAAATTAAGAATATTAATGTCTTTACACTTCTAAAATAAACAAAATTTTTTCATATGCATTAAAAAAAAGGTTAATTTCATGAATAATAATTAAATTATAATAAAATATTTAATATGACACTTAAATTTTAAAATTTTTTAACATATTATTTGACAATAAATTTATAAATAATGTAATATTTATTTTTAATATAATTAATTTTTAAATGATTACTTGCTATGAACAAGCAATTCTTCCACTATTTTATTAAGTAACATATTCAAAATTTAAATACTAAATTAAAATATTAAAAAATTTAAATAATATATTAAATGTTTCATTATAATTCATAACCATTTATAATATTAGCCTTTAAAAAAGCTTTCCATTCAATATTTAACATTCTTTTCTTTAAAATTAAATTTTTACTTTTTTCCAATCACATCATGATCTGTGTTTAAATCTAATTAATTATAAAATTTGTTATTGAATTTGATGTTGCAAGCCAAAAAAATCAACTCAATTGATGAATTAACAAAAAAAAAAGACCAAATATACTAACAACAACAAGTATGATATTAAAAATATATATGACACGTTACAATTTAAAAAAAAAAAAAAGATTCAATGTGGTACCTGATAAATCATCTTCACTAAAATTTAGATTATTTAAAATTAATCATATAATTTTTTATTCTCTTTTAAAACACTTTAAAAAAACAGATAATGGTAGTTAAATTCGAGGAAAAAAAAAAACTAAAATAGGAGTTAATTCCTAAGGGCAATTACGTCATTCTGTGGAAACCGGGTCCACCACCAGCTCTTTACGAAGTTTCATTGGGTTAGCTTACAAAAGCCGATGAGGTCAGATTCCAGGGAAAGTTACTTTGAGAGTTAGGCCTTTTTAACGGTCGACGCGTGATCAAGTGGGGGCCCAACCGCCCTTGTTCTTCCACTTGGCAGTCGGCCTTCCCTATTCCCGCGCTCAAAAATAGACACGCGTTTCACGTTTTTAGTTGCGTCAGCACCCAATGACTAACGAACACGTTAAAAGGGATATCTTGCCACGTGGAAGACATCCCCTTGGCCTACCAGTTGGAAATGATGACGTGGAAGGACAACAACTCCCCGCCCCACCGCTCCTCCTTCCCTAAACAGTGTTTCCCCAAGATAACGAGAGTTTTGAAAGGGTCCCCAAAGATTCCTTCGTCTGCCTCACTACACAAAGTTTGTTGAAAATGAGAGATCGAAATTCAATTTTGGAAAATTGTTTTTGGTATAATTTACTAATTTCATATTTAACAAATATAATTATTATTAGAAGAAACATATCGAAATGATATAAATATGAATTTTCGAATTTAATCGAATTCGAAAAATTTTAATTGCTTTATCGAAGAATAGCTTTTTGTGATAAGATATGAATATTTATTTATTTTTATAATTTTATTCTTTTACTTGTTTTATAAATTTTATTTTATTTTATATAAAATGAAGTGTAATAGTGTTCAACTTATAATCAGGCACAAACCCTTCCCCAATCCAAAAGCATCAAATCAAGTATTGATTGACATAAGTTGAGTGGCTTCAAAATGAGAATAAGATTAAAATGATTGATGTGCCATATATAATATTTTAAAATTATAATAATTTTAAAATTTTTATTTAAAATAAAATTTAATTCTTACAAAAGAAATACTAAATATTTATCAATTTAATGCATGTACATAATTTTATCTAGGCATATAGTAAATATAATAAATAATTCACATGTTCAATATGTTAAAAATAGTGCTAAAATTTTATTCAAATGATAATCAACGTCTCAAAATTTTGTTTAGTTTAAATACGAAATAGTTTACTAAGCATTGATGGATCCGCATGTAAAGAGTCCTAAAATTTGAAAAATAAAAAAATCTAAATAAAAAATTTTTGTTTGGTCAACATCCAAAATTTTTTTGAACACTCTTTCATTAATAAAATTAATAAATATATCAACATATTTTATATATATTATAAATGAAATTTTTTTAAAAAAAATTATATACTTTATAGCTCAATCCGCCATTATTAATAAATATCACAATCGCGCATGAAATTAATCACCACCATCTCTATTTTATGAATATAGCAATAGATTTTTAGAATTAAAAAATGACATATATTTCATAGTGGAAAATGAATTTAGAGCCAATTACAGCTTCCTTTAGGATAAGGCATGGAGAGGGTCAAGCTTATCTTCACTTACCAGTTATATAAAGTCCATTGTTTTGTTCCAAACCTGCATAAAGGATTATATATAGACAGAGAAAGGATGGATGGAGACTATTGCCATATTATCATTTTTCTTTTACAAGAAATGAATTTGAATGATTAATCTTACTATTACTGACACAATTTTCCTCGTAAGTTATGGTTTTAGACAATTAATCTTTGCTATTTTAGCTTAAAGCTTTGTTTAAAAAATTAATCTTACCTCATTGCTTGCGCAGTTTTTCAAGGGCACATGCATGAATGAATTAATGAAGGGAATTTTGGTGATAACAAAACTTGCCCATGACAAGCTAAGTTTTACAAAATATGGAACTTGGAATCTCCAAAATAAGCTCAAATGAAAATAATTGTTTCCCTTGTAAGTTAAGATTCATGCACGTATATATACCACAGAAAGATATATGCCAAATATGAACAGTGATATAGAATTTTTATACTTTGCCTTGCTCGATTGCTCGTCGGTTTGAGAAAGACGACGAAAGAAAGTAAGGGAAAGTCTACTATGCCCCTTTAAACTTTGCTATCATGAATTTTCTTTTCGTCAATGTTTAATTTTTTTTTTCTCTCTTTTGGCAAATCCATCAAGGGAAAATTTATGTCTTGAGGCTATCACCAAAAAACAAATGATGTGAGCTAAGAAGGAAAGAAAGAGGATTGTGATGATATATATGTATCTTGTAATGTTGCTTTTGTTGATTATCTTTGTTGCTGGCAAAGGTTGGCAATAAAATGTGATTTTGAAACTAACTGTTTCAAAATCATTTTCCAATTACTTTTTTGGCCACAATCGATATTTTTGAAAACGATATTTCTTTTGTTTGATTCTTGGAAAATTGAAAATGAGAATTTAATATATATATGATAATGATAATAATGATGGCGATGATGATCAGGCTAATTATATATTTCTAGTAAAAGTTTTTTATATTTGAATATAAATTAAAAGGTCTAAATTCCAGGAAGAAAGACAAAATTAATAACAATGTGTATAGATAGGGGTGTTCATTCAGTTGATTTGGTTATTTTCGAATCGAATTATCTAAAATCAAATTAATCAAATTATATTATTTTATTTTTATTAATCGAACGTAATTTGTGAATTGATCGAATTTAATTTGATAAATTTGATTAATTTTTTTGATTAATTGAATAATAACTATATTTAAATTAAATTATATTTTAAATTCTTAATTTTTTAATTTTAAACAAACTAAATAAAATATTCAAATACTAAAGTATTATGTTAAAAATTATAACAAGTTATAAAATTAAATTATCTATTTCATATATTTTTTCTTTTTTATTTTGATTATGTTATATTTTGATTAATTCGGTTTTCGAATCGAATTAACCAAAAATTAAAATTTTTTTAAAATCATTTTCCTTAATCAATTGAAATTAATTTGATAATCGATCGATTAACCGAAATAAATTAATTTGATCGGTTAATTTAGTTAAAATCGAATTATGAACATCCCTATGTATAGATAATAACTATATTATTCAAATCAATATATTTTTGAAAGATAATTGTTCTTATGATTATCATAAAGCACGACGGCGTTCAAATTAAGAAAAAGAGAATTTATATCAAAATATTAATAGCAACAAAATAAAGCTAAATATTGCTATTTATGAGAATTGTAAAGATCAATCAAAATATTATTTACCATATTTATAAGTTTAGATCATTTTAAAATTTTATTAATAAAATCATAAGTGATATGCTATCGTGATAATTCATACTCTGTACCAAAAAATGTTGCATGCTTAATTAAGTCTAAATCAAGTAGGAGAAATTGTATTTACTAAAATTAGAAAAAATTTCAATAATTTTTCGGTTTGCTGTCTTAGAAGGAAATCAACAAGTTTTAGGAAAACTCCTGCTTTTTTTTTTTTTTTATTAAGTTTAGAAAAAGCTTTTAAATAAAAATTAAATAATTATCTAAACTTCTATAATTTTATTGTTATAAATTGAGCGCTTAAATATTTATTGTTATTCAATTAAGTCTTTAAACATTTATTTTCACCCAATTGAATTTTTAAATATTTATTTTCACCCAATTTAACATTTGTTAGGTAAAAATGAGAGCTTGCAATTAAGTACAAAACGTACATGAAGTCCTTTAGATAAAGTTTGTGAATTTTTTTTTAAAAAATAATTTACTAAAAACTTTAATAAAATATTCAAACGGGTTGATTAATAAAATTTATTATGAAGATTAATAATATGTAAAAAAAAATTAAAATATTATTTAAAATTAAAATTTGAATGATAATTATTTAAAGTTAAAAATTCTGTCAATATTTTTATTAAAAATATTTATATAAATAAATATATATATATTTTTTAAATTTATATACTTGTTCTATGTAATGAGATCTTTCAATTTATCAATTTTTATTTAATCATTTTTAGTAGTGAACTTCAAGCACTTCACCTAAAGAATTTCATCTAAGAATTTTCTTGTGATTAACCAATTTTCACCTAATAAATGTTCAATTAGTTAAAATACATATTTGATGATTTAATTGATTGCAATAAATCGATGAGAAGTTTGGATGATTATTTAATTTTAATTCAAAAACCTTTTTTTTTTTTTTTTATGTTTGAGGTGATTAGGGATTGAATCATGAATAATTATTAAAACTAAAAGTTCAGTACTCTATCAAAAGATCATATAGCTATCTATAGAGCTCATCACTTCCCTTAAACCTGTTCATTGGTAAAAAAAAAAAAAAAAAAACCTTGTATAGATGAAACATGTGAACAGATATTGAGAATCATTTACTTTGAATTTTCTTTTAATTAAAAAAATCATAAATACTCATTATATAGCCAATCATTTAGAAATTGCAAAGAAGATAAAGTCCCACCATTTTTTTGGCCCATATTTGATGCCAAAGGGACAAAAATATAGTGATCACCTAACTTGTTTTGACTTTAACCCAAGTAAAGAAGAGCCGCTCATTTCCTTTTCCTTCACATTCCCAATCTTTGTTCCCCACTAAACAAAGTCAACAATAAGAGGAAATTGGCATTGTCACAATAATAATAATAAAAAAAATTGATTTTACAAGTAATTAATCATATTCACTCTTTTATGCTTATGCAATGACAAAATTAATAACCAAATTACGTGCAAAATGGATGGATTCACATGTAAAATAAGATTGTAATCAATTTTTTTTAAAGAAAAAAGATTCTAAGCCAAGCACCTACGATTTGGATTAAATCTTGGTTAGATTTTGCTTAAATTGTTCTATATATAGATCATTGAAAGATGTCTATTTCAACCTAAGTAATTAATTCTATTTTCGATTCATGAACACGTGTATTGATATTTTTAATTGCTTTCAATCCTTTCTATCTTTCCACGGTGTTTTTGCATTTTGATGATTCGATCTCTTTTTGACCCAATTTAATTGGGGATATGAAATAAAAATCTTAGCTCAATTTGTTTCTGCGATTCTTTGTAAGAAGTGACATTTGATTAATTTAAAATTTAAACTTTAAAATTTGCAATTCGTTTTTTTATTTTTAGCTGTGATATTTGTTATATAAAAAAAATTGAGGATGTATATGCCTTATTAGGATATAAGATGGAGACCCTTCATGAATGTTTATTATTTTTAATTTTCACATACAACTTTTTTTATTTAATTACATTTTTCATCACGAAATAAAATTAATAAGTAATTAATTAATGACCTTCTGGCACCCATTAGCACCAATATTAATCGAGTTAATTAATTTATTTTAAGACTATTGTCATTTGTCAATCTTAGAATTTCTTTTTGGTACAAACTTAGAATATATTTGCTAAATAGGCAAGTTGTAGTTTGTTTTGTTTGTTCCCTTTTTTTTTTTTTTTTTTTACTTTTAGTAAATTTGTTATACATTTGATGACCTTAATTAGGAGTTGGGTATGAGGCTACGAGTCTATAAATATTTTTAGGAATCATCTTAAATATATGGGAGGGATGGTATCAATTTTGCTAGAATAATTCACAGTAAAAAAAAAGGTTTATACTAATAATTTTTTAATTTATATTTGATGCATTGATAGTGCATATAATATATACACTATTATTAAATTACATATTATCACATAATTAATAAATAAACTTGAAAGTTGATAAGTGTTAAAAATAAGTTTAAGTCAATTTTTATTATTTATAATTTATAATTTTTTAAATTTTAATTCCCTCATTAATGATATGACAACATGTAGTTTAATGATAATGTATAAAGAGTATATACTGACATTACATTAAATACAAACTCAATGTTTATTTCTTATAGAAGCAAGGAGTATATTTTATAATTTAAGAGTCAATATTTAATTTACTATCAATGTAAAATTTTAATTACATAAGCTAGATTAAGAATGTGACACATGTTCAATTTTCATTTTTAATTAGATTTTTTATTTTTTAAATATACTTAAATGGCATATGTCACCCTTTTAATAGCATTTATGTAATTAAAATTTTACACTATCAATATTAAGGATGTCAATGAGTATGGTATGGACAGAATAGAGTATTATACATACCTATCTTTGAATTTTCATATTATACAAATCTTCGTGCCCATATCCAACAGGTATTTAAAATTTATTCCCATCCATATTTTCGCAGATATTTAATGGATATGGATAATTCTCATACCCATAGTTTTTTTTTTTTAAGTAAAAACTAAAATTTTGTTAACTTTTTTTTTATCTTGTATATTTAGGTAATTTTTTATAAATATATATTAATATATTTTTTCTCAATAAAAGTATATTAATTTTAATTAATCTAAAATAATAATTTATATTATTTAATAAAAGTCTATTTAATAAATATGTATAAATATATAAATAGGGTACGGGTACAAGAAAGTATTATATTACCATCTCCCTTCGTGTACCTAATAAAAGTTTAAAATTATATTCATCTTCTTCCCTCTAATGTAATATCCATCCTCATTTGGATAAAAAATCATATTATTCATTAAATATGGATAAAATTAACATTCCTAATCAATATTATCAAACACTAGCTCATAATTTTAA